TGAAACAGTTGGCTTTGCATGTCATTGAGAAAACTCCGGCAGCTCTGTATGATGGCAGAGCTTGGAAGAACTGGAAACCACATGTGGCCTTCGAGACTTTTCCGGACCTCTTCACTGGCCTGGAGTTTGAGGATTTTGATCACGTTTGGCCTCTTTTGTTCTCCAAGAAGGAACTTGAGAAGAATGACTTGCGGAGAATCACGCAGACTGACACTCAGAAGCTTGCAGACCGAACTGGGGAGCTGTTTGAACCCACAGAGATTCTCGATCTACAGTCTCATGTCGATGATGATGCTCACTCTATTTTGCTCAGTGCAGGGGAACGTATGAGCATCTTGCTCAAAGACAAGGCTCATTTCATCCACCGGAAGGAGGAACAAATCCAGCAGAAAATTCCCCTCATCCAGCAGAAAAGAGAAATCCTCAAGGATCTTCTGGGCAAAGCTTCAACGGCCGGTCACCAGTGGGAAGCGTTTCGAAGTGGCATTCAACGCAAGGTCTGCCGGGTTCGGTACCACAGCAAAAGCCTGCTGACTGATTTGAAGGAGGCTGAAGACAAGCCTTGTCTGCAGGAGGCGAAGCCCAATCCTCCAAAGCAGACACGCATGGAGATGATCCATGCCCTGGTGGCTTCACAGCAGGGGCCACAACAGGGAGTTCACCACCTGCAGTTGGACCGAGCGTACTTGCGCTGTACGGTCTGCAAGAGCTACATCTTAGCCAGGTGCAATGAGGACGCCTTTTCTCGTTTCGTTGGTGAGCCTTGCTACTGTGGACCTCTCGAACCACGGTTGTGGCATGGTCACGAATCCCACACCATCGAGCGCAAGGGCCAGTCCATCGAGTGCACTCGTTGTCACGCTCGGTCCCGGATCTCAGACGGGACTGTACAAATGACTTCAAGGCTGAAAGCCAGGTGTGTCTTCATCAAGCACCGTGATCTGCGGCAGATGTTCGCACGATGACCATGCAGACTCAAAAAGGCGTGCAAAAAATACATACATACATCCATACTTACTTACTTACTTACTGACTGACTGACTGACTTACATACATACATACATACAACACATACAACACGTACAACACATACAACACATACGACGCATACAATACAATACAATACAATACAATATCAAACCCTACCCTACTCTACCATACCATACATGGATAGAAACATATATACATAGAAACATACCTACATACATACATACATACATACATACATACATACATACATCGCTGCTTACATGCATACGTCCATACATACATACGTTACATACCACAAACATACACGCATATACATGTATATATATGTAGAGAGAGAGATATGGTGCATTGTTGAGCTCAAAAAACCAACCTCCGCGCGCGCAGATTTCAAGTGGCCGCGCTCTGATTGCAACGACTCATTCAGCGAATGCACTTCGCTTGCATGCCTCCGCAGTCAGAGCTCTATACATATATATATATGTATATATGTGTACAGTGCTCAGACAAAAACTTACTCTGGAATAGACAAACAAACAATGGAAATTGTTTGGCACTGCTTGGAGCGCTGAGATGGTCGGACGCTTGTCAATGGCCTGTCAGCTGCAGCTTTGGCAGCGTTCTCCAACTCTTGTATTGCTCGAGCCTTTTCAGTTCGCACCTAGCAACGCTCAAAAAACTCCTCAGAAAACTCAAGCTGACCGTAAGGCTTAGTACGACAACAGTCGGTAACACAGAACACCGGCGCGCCCCAAAAACCGCTGTCTGCCAGGTTCAAAACAGTTCAATCGCTTGGCGCCTCCTGCAAGGCTGCCTTGTGAGAAGCGGCCGCATCCCGCATGTCAGCAGCATGAGCAGTCTGTCGAGCCCGGGGGCGAGAAAGCCAGATTCGCCCAAGGCAATCTGGGGAAGAAGGAGATGATAGTCTTGTTAAATGAAAGGAAAAAAACGTAACCCAGATTCTGTCATAGGAGCCCAGATTAGATTCACTCCTCGTGACAAGGTCCCCCGACCTAGAGGCACAAATTGTTCCACGCTCCTTCATTCCAAGTGCCCCATTT